AAAAAAAAAAAAAAAAAGTCTTTTTTTCTACTATAAATAGAAAAAAAATGTATATTATAATACTTAGTAAGATTAATTATCTATTTATTTTGGAGACAGAGTTTTATCATCCTTGATAGAGTGCCGTGGCATCTTATCTTATAGGAACCTCTTAACTCGTGGACTCAAGAGATTTTCTTGCCTCAGCCTTCCTACTGTCTGGGGATATAGGTGCCCGCCATAGTGCACAGCTATTTTAGAGATGAAGGTCGTGCTGGTCTCGAACCTGTGAGCTCAGGCAGTCCACCGCCCTCAGACTCACAGAGTGCTATGACTATGGGCGTAAGCCACTGCACCCAGCCTAGTAAGATTATTTTCTGATGATGACTTCTTAGACATGAAATTGGTGGAACAAAGGGTTTTTGTATTTAAAAATTTTATATCTATTACTATACTGCCTTCCAAGTAGGCTGTAGCATTATGCTCTGATGTATATAGCATGTGAGAATTTTCTTTTATTGATAATGATGAAATAATGACAATAACAGCTAAAATTCATTGAGTGTATTTTGTGCATTGGGCACTCCTACATGGATTATCTCATTTAGTCATCAAAGAAACTCTTTAAAGTAGATACTGTTGGCTCAGTGCCTGTAGCTCAGTGGTTATAGCGCCGGCCACATACACCAGGGCTGGCAGATTTGAACCCTGCCCAGGCCTGCTAAACAACAATGACAACTACAACAACAACAACAACAAAAATAGCTGGGCATTGTGGTAGGCACCTGTGGTCCTAGTTACTTGGGAGGCTGAGGCAAGAATTGCTTAATCCCAAGAGTTTGAGGTTTCTCTGTGCCCTGAAGTCATAGCACTCTACTGAAGGTGACATAGTGAGACTCTGTCTCTTTAAAAAAAAAAAAAGTAAGTATCGTTCCCATTTTACAGAAGAGAAAACAGGTTCAGAAAAGTAACTTACCCAGAGTCTTAGAACCCCTGTGTATATTTTGTATTTACTCCCAAAATAATCTTGGAAGGCTATTACCAAAAATCTCCCATAATTCCTCTAGTCTTCCTCTTGAGACATTTTAAAACATGTCTTTATTGAAGACCTTGAAACCCTTTCTCCTCTTCCCTTACACAGTCCTAACTCTGATTTTCATACTTTACATTCCTAATTTCAAAAACACTTGTACTACGTATCTAACTGATCTGCCCCACAAAATCTTTTGGTGGTTCAGAAAGGAAGGAGGTTAAAATACAAAGTCTTCAATTTTATACTATTTGTAATACTATTTTTAAGGAAGGAATTTGAAAATCAGGGATGATAGGTATAGATTGCATGTTTCTGTTACCCATTTCATGTAACAGCAAGGCTTGGAAACAAAGCTCTTTGGACCTAGTACCGGGTCTGAGAGGCTCCTCTGCCCTCTGCCAGGTAGCATTTCCCCATAGCTGTGTGTCTGGCTTAGTAACAGTGAAGTTGACATTCACTGTTGTCAAAGCCCAGAGCCATGCAGAGAGTGATGCTTACTGTCAGAGCTTCAAATTCAGGAGTAGCTAAGTTAGTCAGACAGTCTCTAAGTCTTGATCTTATAGGGTATGTATTTTTTCTTTGATGGATCTAAAGTTTGCTGAGTAATATTTGATCCATATAGTTTGGGTTTGTTTTTCTTCAGTGGTATTATTACTTCTATAATTTTAAGAAAATAATTTGCATCAAAATATGAATTAACTCAAAACAAGGATGTTCTGTTCATGGTCCAATTGCATAGAATTTGACTAAAAGAATTGTATACTCTTTTTTTCTGTGATCTAGAATCAGAATTATATCAGTATACCCAAGAAATGTTCACTAAAAGAGAATTATGTTATTCTTAATAAGGAAGAAATGTTAAACCTTAAGGAAAGCTAAAAACTTGTCATTCTACTTCAAGGAATTACTTTTCCTCCTAAGTAATTTTGACCAGTACTAAGGATTTGAAATTTGTATGTGCCAAGTTAATTAGAAAAAGCAGTAAGAAAACTGAATTTTATAAGGAAATAAACTATTGGATTGCAAGTTCTATAACATTTTGATGAAAGATCCTATTTATAGTGAAGGCATTTTTTTTTTTTTTTTTT